CCATATCCAATTGAACTAATTCTTGGACCATACCCAATTCGTAATAAAATGGGCTTTCTTCTCCATGAAAAATTATTAGATATTCTAGAAATATCATGTCCTACTTCAATTCCATTCATATTGGTATATACCCTTCAAAAGGTATGTATTAAACTCTTCACATGTGGAGTAACATAGCATACAACTAACTTTTCTTTTATCAGTCTTCTGCACTGTGAGCTTATTGGTACATGTCCCAGTTCAATTCCATTCATCTAAGAGAAAGAAACAGAGAAAGAAAAAAGAAAATTGATGTTTAGTTAATTTGTTTCTCAGTTCCATTAATTCAATCCATAAGCTTAGTTATTATTAATTTGTTTCTCAGTCCCAGTAACCTACTTTTATGTTGCCTCTGTTAATATTAATTCAATCCATATTATTTTGATAAAGGTTAAAAATGTCAAATGTTAACTCTCAAGCACCAGTTAACTCTGAAGTACCCGTTAACTCTCAAGTACCATTTGAGAGTGACGCGTCACAACATTCATCGCTAGCTACAAACTCACCCACGAACTCACCGTCTCTCCTCTCTAATCAAATGTTATTGATTTAGAAGAAGAGTCTAATACTTGTGGAGGACCTAAAAGAAAACCTAGTGTTGTGCGAGAACATTTTAAGAAACAACAAGTCAATAGGGTGTGGAAGGCAATATGTAATTATTGTAATAAGCATCTTAGAGGTGATTCAAAAAATGGAACTAGGCATTTGCATGATTACCATAAGAGTTGTACTCGGAAAAAGTGATGGACACGAGGCAAAAAGTTTTGACTAACAACTTTAATAGAGAGAGTCCAAAAATGAATTCTTATATTTTTTATCAAGATTTTGTTAGGAAAGAGTTGTCACATGCCATAATCTTGCATGAATATCCCCTCTCTATCGTAGACAATGTTGGTTTTAAACGATATTCAACAGCACTTCAACCATTGTTTAAAGTGCCTTCTCGAAATACGATAAAGAGTGATATTTTAAAGATTTATGATTATGAGAGGGTGAAGACATTGAGTTTGGTGGAGCATAATAAAAGTAGGGTGGCAATCACAACTGATATGTGGACTGCTAGCAATCAAAAAAAAGGATTCATGGCTGTCACCGCACATTTCATTGATGATTCATGGACATTGCAAAATTTCATTTTGAGATATATTTTTATAAATTTGGAAATCATTTAAAAGTTTTATGTTATTCAGTTCAATTCGCATGGTATTAATACTTGTTTATGAATATCATATTTTAGGTTTATTTATATTTCATGTCTACACACAAAAAAAGTTTTTTGTGATACTTTGCTTGAGTGTATGATGGACTAAAATATTCATAGAAAAATCTTTACTGTTACTGTTGATAATTGCTCCACAAATGATGCCATGATTACCATGTTGATGGATAAGTTAAGTAATACATCGCTTTTGTTGGGTGGTACTTTGTTTCATATGCGTTGTTATGCGTATATTTTGAATTTGATAGTGAAAGATGGATTGGATGTCATAGGAGTGGGTGTGGAGAAAATTCGAGATAGTGTAGCTTATTGGACAGCAACACCAAAAAGACAAGAAAAATTTGAAGAAATAGTTAACCAATTGCGTATTCCACATACTAAGAAATTAGGACTTGATTATGCAACTAAGTGGAATTCAACCTACTTGATGCTTCAGACAACCTTATTGTATAAGGATGTCTTTTCTAGGTTGAAAATTAGAGAGCCCCAATATAAGACTGTGCCAAGTGAGCAAGAATGAGAGTTTGCTAGAGAGATTAGTGGGAGGTTTAAGATTTTTTTTTCTATCACAGAGTTGT